ATCTTTCTCTGACTTATTTCACTCAGCATAATAATCTCTAGGTCCATCCATGTCATTGCAAATGGTAGGATTTCATTTTTTTAAATGGCTGAGTAATATTCCATTATATATATGAACCATAATCTCGTTATCCAATCACCTATTGATGGGCATTTAGGTTGCTTCCATATCTTGGCTATTGTAAATTGTGCTGCCATGAATATTGGAATGCATAGATCTTTACGAATTACTATTTTGGTTTTCTTCGGATAAATACCCAGATATACATTTGCTGGGTCAAAAGGTATATCCATTTTTAATTTTCTGAGAAACCTCCATACTGTTTTCCATAGTGGTTGTAACAATTTGCAAACCCACCAACAATGTATGAGAGTTCCCTTTTCTCTGCATCCTCGCCAACACTTGTTTTTTAAGGATCCTTTTATGAACCATTGGGGATTGACTTTTAGAAATAGCGTTGTTAAGAAATAATTGTTTCCTCTCTCCACATCTACTGTTTACTAGATTTGCTTTGCCACTTGATTTCTACAAAAAGGCTGAAGTCCTGAACCTATCGGTACCGATTTAAACTCAAAAGTCTGAAAATACTTGGATATAAGGACAGCTATTTCAGATGTTTGCAGAATGAATTAAGGAACTATATTGTATGTGGTATTTAAATTGCTACAATACTGAATTATGAAATCACAAAACTAGATGGATATCTATATCTACCTGGAGATGGAGAAAAAAACGAAAAAAATTTGCGAACTCTTTGGAGAGAACTATATAGTTCTTTACTGGATAAATATATATATAGTTCTTTACTTGATAAATATATTTTATCTTCCCCCATTTCTTTCCACAGCAAGATTGTTAAGTCGCTGTGGGAAGCACCACGCTTTCTCAATTTTGCAAACAATGCATTTCATTTGCCAAGGCAGAAGCAGCTTAAAAGCAATATTTTTACCAAGAAACCCTGACTCCAATTCCCAACCTTCTTTCTCCCAAGCAGCTTAAAAGCAATATTTTTACCAAGAAACCCTGACTCCAGTTCCCAACCTTCTTTCTCCCAAGTCCTACACACTTCGGTCCTCCACCCCTCCCTGGCAGCCAGGACTTGGGCGCAGACGAGCCCTGTCTGGGGAAGAGGCTAGCGGGTGCCCCAGGTGAGCCAGCCAAGGTCCAAACCTCTCTTTGCTGGGGTTTGCTTCAGAATAGAGGTCGCTTCCATCGGTCAAAAGCTGTCTATACGTGTTATAATAACGAAGGAAGTAAGGAGAACAAATACATTCCCTTAAGAAATATAAGTTTCTAGGATAAGGGGGCAGGTAATTTCCAAAGAGCCTCTCATCCTGAAATTCTCGGTATTATGGGGTAGGGCTCTGGCAGTCTATGGTTAGATTCCAAAGTACAGGTTTCCGGCATTCCCGGGGCCCAGGGGGCGACGGTGAGTTGGTGGGTGGGGCTCCCACGTCGGATGATTCCCACCTCCCTCCGCCCCCCAGAACTACTTTTCCGCTCCCACAAACAAGAATCCGACGGAGGCGTCCGCTCAGGAGGGGCGTGCATCTGCGACTGGGTCGCGCGTCCTGGGGCGCTAGCGGAACGAAACGGTGGGAGCGGGGCCGCGGGGAAACCCGCACGCGCGGAGGCTCAGACGGCGGAGGGATTCTGGATGAGGCGGCCTTCCGAAGTCCAAGGCGGGGGAGACCAAAACAGTCGGCGGGGGAGGGGACAAGCGAGCTCGAGCTGGCAGCGGCCAAGATAGAACCGGAACCGGAACCCCTGCGCGCGCCGGCGATTGTCGCTTTCCTCACCCGTTCCCCCGCGGTTGCTGGCCGCGCGCCTCTGCCCGCCGCGCGCGCTCCCGGGAGGGTCCCCAGACCTGGTGAGACGACCCTGCTGTGGATTCACCGCTGTTGCCGGCCTCCGGGGCCGGCGCTTCCAGGCCAGGCCGGACGGGAACCTCCCGCCTCTCGCGGGAATCGCCGCCTACCGGCTTGACAGGGAGGAGCCGCCGCCGCCGCCGCCGCCGCCTCTGCAGAGTGCGGAAGAGTTTGGGCCTCCGCGGAATGGCGAGCACTCCGCAGCGCTGAGGGTCAGATTCCTGTCACTTCTGGCTGTGGGACTCCCTACCCGCGACATCCCCTCTTGTCTCAGTGCCCAGAGCCTGGTGGGGGCAGCGAGGAAGACTAGAGGAGTCCCCCGGCCCGGGACATGGAGCCGCTAGAGTCTAGCGCGGGACTGCGCGAGACGCGGCCGAGGCTACGGCATCGAGCTGCCGGGTGCCCCAGATAGGAGAGCCAAGACGAGAGGGCTCGGCGCTGCGGCGGCGGGGACTCGCAGGCCCCTGACACTAAGCAGGAAGAGCCGACACCCAGCCCGGAGCAAATTCCTGGGTCCCCTTCTCTACGGCTCTCCGACTTCCCTCCGTGACGAAGTTTTCTCCTCGTGCCTTCTCCAGGGTTGCTCTCTAACTCTAGAACTTGACTTCTGGAAGGCTTTCTCTGTTTGTTTTCGGGAATAACTCCTTTTGCTCCAATCCACACCTCCCTTCCTTGGCCTCTTCCACTCGGACGTTCTAGATGACTGAATGGAGTTTTGAGTTGGATTTTTTCGTCCCTTTCGGAGTCGGGCCTGATTCCAGAGCTGTGGGGGGTGGGGTGGAGGTGTTGCTGTAAAATGCAAGTCGGATAAAAAGAGGACCTCTCGCCAAAGGCCCCAATGAGTGGCACACAGTCTACTATCACCGACAGGTTTGTATGAAGCTCCTCCTGCGCTTAGCCTCCTGGGATGTGGCTGATCTAGCAGGAGAGTATGTGATTATCCTTTGACTAGTGAAGTTGACAGGCATAGGAGAGGGGATTGTTTCGGAGCACTGCAATTAATCTAGGGTTGCTGCCAAGTTACTTTGTTGATTGAATTTGGAAATGTAGTTTTTATGGAGAGAAACTTGCCTCCGGTTTCTCAGAGAAGAAGTAGGTAAAACCATGATGGGGTTTTCTGTCTATAGTATGCATTAGGATTCTGTAGTGTTTTGGAACCAGAGGAAGGTCATTTTTTGTGAAGGTCAGTGCTCAAAGTTGGCTGGATATAGGTGCATCAGCAGTTTTCCTCCTGTCCTGTAGTTTCTAGACACTAGGAATTTGTATTTGTGAACTTCATTCTGAGACTGCTGCGTGATTTATGAACTTGATCTATTTTAAATATTGACCCGCATAGTGTTTATTATCTAATAACTTTTCAGAATTTTGAAGTTACCAGTAAATCACAGGCTCTTGTTAGGGGCAATATCAAGGAATTAAAAAAAAAAAAATATGAAAATCATGGGACTTGATTTTAATTATTGCATTTTTAGTATTTAATTTTCCAGAAGTATTTGCATTTAAGGGATACAAACCCTAAGCAAATTATGTAGTACAAGCATGGCAGGTGGATTTGTTGAGTTCTCTGAGTCCTTTATGTAACTTATCTGTGTTGCCTGGTGGTGGTCGGTGAATTGAGCTAGACTATTTGTGGTTTAAGTGGAGTTTTTTTTACTCTTAATAGTTATTTCTATGAGAATGAGATTAAGCGCTAAAAGCATATTAATTCTTTTACTACATTTTATTTCTTAGTTTAATTATGACATTGTATTCTTGTCCCGGATTTCAGCTTGTTTTTTTTTAATCAACCTTCAAATTATTAAAAAAAAAAATTACATCATTAAAATTATTACATCATTCAAAAAAAAAGATCAAATAACTGAATTAGGGGGCCAAAGAAAGCACTTTGATGAAAAGTGCAACAATAGTGCTCCTGCAGAAAATACTTGAATTTCCTAATAAGTTTCACCAAATCGTAAGACTCATTTGTTGATTTTAAAAAAAGGGCCATATTCCATTATCATACCATAGCAGCTACTCCAGAAACAGAACTTCCTCTTCCTGTTGATTCTTTCCAATGTCACGTGAATGTTTACCTAAAAGATATCAAATATTTAAACTATGTTTATTCTTTGTATATTTAAAAAAAATCGTTTTAGTTTTCAATGAAATAATTTTCAACTTTTTGAGAATACACAACATGAGTAGCAACAATGCTTATCTTGATTGCTTCTAGTTATCCTCATTCCTTTTCCTTTCAAGGTATTTTACTTTTGAGAAATCACTTTTATGGGTATGTGGGTAATTGTTATCCTGGTTCATTCAGGTCTCTCCCACTCTGTTGAGCCTGTAGACAAGAGTCTTATTTGGTGTGGATAGTTTTCATTGTGATAATAGTGATGTTTAATTTTGTAGAAACAGAACTTAGGGTCACCAACTCACTCCACATGAAAATCACCTACAGGCCTCCCAAGTAACGACCATTCTTCCTCTTTGCTTCTCAGAGCTTTTCTTCCTCTTTCCATTATCTTAGAAACAAAATATTGGGACTTGTGTCCTTTTTATAAGGTAGATGAGGTATAAATATATAGTAAGTATGAAATTAATGAATGCCTGTTCTTTGCCGATCACTGTGCCTAGGCCCAAAGGACGAAGAGATGAAGTTTCTAAAATGAATCTACAGATTGGTTTGAGTATTAATATCCTCAAATTGGTTCATTTTTTTTCTTTTAAACCCTTTAAAACTACTTTAGTAAGCTCTGCTGAGATAGTATGGATACTTGTATTGTTTAAGAAATGTACTAATTTTTTTTTACAAAAATTATTCTTATGTGACCATTACTTTTTCTTTAAACATATCTTATTTTTTAAAAATAAGGTATCCATTTGCTCTTTAGGAGAGTAGTTGTCCCTGATTTTAATGTATAGTGGAGTAAAATACTGGTTTAGTATTATTGCTGTGCCAGCATGCCTTAATAAACTTATGAGTATAGAATAGTTCTTAACTTTTCAGCTCTGCCTACCTCATCCTCTTTTCTCACTAACTCCAGTGCACTGTAGGTATAGCTTTCTGATTATAGAGCTGTTGGCAAATTAACAGTGCCAGTGTAACATTTTAAAGATCCTTTCAAGTTTGAAGTACTGTGTGATCTGGCTTTGTTTTGTAGAGTGTGCAGACCCATTAGGCCAATTGTGTGAGTTAGAGTCCTTTCATTGTGGTGCTTCTGACTACAGAATTTCTCTATCTTTATTTGAAATCAGACTAGCTGGTTTTGGGCGTTGTTGTTTTGTAGTTTGTGGCAGGTGGCACATGGCTGACCAAGATAAGAATGTTTAATTCTTGCTTTAAGGAAGTGCTGGGGCTGGGATGCAGTTTACCTATGTTTAGGTTCTGATTCCTCACTTTGGATACTCAGAACTCTGTTATATATCCTGATGTTATTTTGCAGTTAAATTAACATTCATTTACTCTTCTTCCTCTTCATCTTCTCCTGAAACCTCCCACCCCCTTTTTTAAAGACATAATTATCAATTTAAAACCCAAACTATGGTAGCTAAAGTTTTTATGTATTATTTATGTACAGCATGAAAACAAAAATCTAAACAGTTTATGAATACCTTCCAGTCTCTTGCTTTGTAACTTTGGTGAGACCTGGAGACTATAGTTTTCAACTATTAGAATCAGCACTTAAAAAAGTGATAGAAATATATAATTGCTGCTTTTTAGTTTGCGCTGATTACCTCATTCAATCCTAAAGTATATTTGTTTCCAATCCTAGAAGCCTGTCTTTTGTTCCTGAGAAGTTAAGGGACCTATTGCAATTGGAATTTCTTCTGAGAAATAGAAGAGAGTGATTTTTCAGCGGACTTAAAGAATGATTTCAGTCTAGATTTTAGAACAATGAATTTTCAAGGACAGTCTAGGATTTTGTAATAAGGGTCTTTCTTGAAATATATGGACCGTGTCTAGGACTTTACGGATCTTTGTTGTTGTTTTGATTTGTAGATTAACAAAGGTTTTTGATCTATTGGCATTTTCTTAGCACTGAGTTCAGCTTTAAGCTTGTTTAACTTAAGTAAACTTTAAAAGTGAGGGTGGAAACCTGTGACTTCATATGCATATACTCAGTAATTAGCATTTCATTCGAGATACTATTTCTGCCAACATTGCCAATGTAATGCTTTTGATTTTAAAAATAAAAAACTCATGTTTGTGTGCTATTTTCAAGGTCGCCTGAGTCATCTGCAAAGTGAAATTATTTGTAATATTTACTTGTAAAGTCAGTCATTTGATAATTACAAAATTGAAGTTCGGAATCAGGGTCATAATTACCTAGTCTTTTAGTTCAGTATAAAATCCTGATTCATATAGTTATGCAATTAGTACATTCACTTGTTTAGTTTTACATGAGAGACATGTACAGTCTAAAGTAAATTTTTTAAAAAATATAGAGCCATAATCTTCCTCACAAATGACACATTTATAACATGTTCGTATTTATTCAATGAGATGACAACAGAGCTTTATTTGAATCAATACAAAAATATGTTAACCTGGCAGTACTGCTTAACACATTGGTGGTTTCCAGTTGTTAAAATGTAGTATATAATGTTGAGTTAACGTATTAGGATTTTTGTTTTTAAACAGAAGTTTGAATTTTCAGTTTAAAAAATGAAATTTGAGGCAAACATTGATGGAACCCATAAATGGTGGATTTTACATATTTTTCTGTGGAGCATTGTGATTTCAGGGAAAATAGTTGGAAAATCTTTTATGTAAACACATGTGGTTGCTTCTTCTAAAAGACATCCAGAATTGAATATGAATTGCCTCCCAAACTAATATGGGTCACAGAAACAGCAGGATATTTTAACTCTTTTTCAGAGTTAATTGGAGAAACTCTTATGTCATGGTTGTCTGACAGAGGTACTAGAATTGTTTCTTATGTGATTTCTTATCTCCTAGAAATTGACCATAACGTATTTTCAGGAACAGGAGTTTAACTTTACTTGGTCTCATCTGCTAAAACTTGGTTTTGATATGTTTTAAAGTTTCATTTGAAGATGTGCTCCTTTCCCTTTTA